GTCTTGCATTTGATTCATTCAATATAAAGGGTCGCAGTTTCAAGTGTAGGTTCTGCAAGGTCACGTTCTTGAAACATCCCACATCGTACTGGAACCTCTGGGGCCACCGCGACGGGAACGAGTCCCGGCCTGTGTGTAAGATGCGCCATAAGGCGATCAAATCCGGTCTCATACTTCCTCCGACATATGACGAACAGATGGCGGCAGAAAAGAAGAAGAACTCCACTTTGGACTCCTTTGTCAATGGACCGGTTTTTTCAGTCGACCTGCTGAACATGATCCTCGTGATCTGGATCGTTCGACATGCGCTCCCATGGATTCGCTTTCAAGACCCGGCCCTGCGTGCTGCGTTCTACTGTGTCAATCGACTGCTTGGGCGACTAAACAGTCAGTCCATCTGTTTGCAGTTTTACACCACAAGGCGCTCAACGACTTGAAGGTAAGTAAATACATATTATCTCTACATGTAGTACTTAAACTGATCTAATATTGGAATCTCAACAGGAAAACAAAGGTAAATTCTGTCTCGTCCACGATGTTTGGACCACCAAAGGCAATCGCTATGCCTTTGTTGGAGCAACCGCGAACTACATCGACAACGATTGGCAATATCGTTTGACCCATCTTACACTCAAGATGGTGGGATGGCGACATTTCGGGGCTCTGCTAGCCAGGCCCGTTGGGCGTTTCTTGATACGTCATGATCTTCATAAAAAGATGAGTCCTCTTACTCATATCTCTTTCACTTATTGGTTTCTCTTTTCTTTCAAACCATTGTTACCTCATGCTGACCTATGTTTGTATTGTATTTACATCTTAGCGCAGACTACAGATAGCGGTGGAAACAACTCCACCATGGCAGCTGAGCTCCAAAGAATGTTTAACAAAGCTGAAGATCTGGTTCACTAGTGTAGCCAAACTCATCATGTGCGATGTTATGCACATAAACTCAACCTGGTTGTTGGGCACGGTCTCAAGGCCCTCGGCCAGAAGGTAAGCAATGGGAAACCTTCTATACCCCATGGTGTGGCTCTTCCGATCCCTGGTCTAGAAGTCAACGATGGCGAAGACGACATCGAGTTCCATGCTTCTGACACCGAATCCGAGGGCGATGAAGGATTGCCTGAGTACACTGACGGTGTTGATGACGAAGACGATATAATTGATGACTCATCTTTATCACCTTGTGATAAAGATGATCTCGTCGCAGCCGCACTTCACAAGGTCAGTATCCCTCTCTGGAATCAATCTCATAGTTGATCGATGCTTATCATGTTTATTATGTAGGTTGACGCTGTCTCTGGACAGATTGCCAGTAGTGCCGCCCGAAGAAACGACTTTAAAACACGTGCCACTTGAATGGGATACAATGGCCGAATGTTGAAAAGGCCATGCAAAACGCGATGGAACAGTCACTATGAGAGTCGAAAGATAGCATGTGAGGCACAGGAGGTCAGTCTCTTTTTATTTCAAAGTTGAATTTAATTTTTCATTTCGAATCACTCAAAATCCATCTTTTTCCTTGCAGGTAATCAATTCGATGATTGCTGCCGATAGAAAGGCGTGTTTTTTTAAAGGTGTCACAATCTCAGCTTCAGAGTGGCATGCTGTCGAAATGGTAAACAAGGTTTTGAAGGTAAGTTTTCCTTCAAAAGTTTGGTTATAATGTTTTGTTCATTGACTGACTGATCTGACCGCTTTGGATGGGCAGACTTTTGTTGATGCTACAGCTCGAGTAGAAGGGGATGGGCCTACTGGCTGCATCCTCTTGGCTGAATATAAGCGCGTAATCAAAGAACTCCTCGATATTCAAAACAAAGCTTTCATTTTCCCTTCTCTTGACAAGGCCATCGATGTCATGTCAAGTGGCTGACCGAATATCAAGACAAGGCGGCCAACTGTGACGCGATAGCCCTGGCAACCATCGTCAACCCTCGCTTTCGAGTCAAGTTCTTCAAACTTCATTATCCAGATCACGAAGAGTCATCGCAGCTGCTTATTGAGGATGCCTTCAAATCTGCCATTGATGAGATCAACATTCACCGTCACGAGCCAACCCCACCACCAGAAGATACTAACAAGCCTACAGTCTCAGAGTCCGATGACTTTGATGTGTTTAGAACATCTGACACCGGTCCCAGTAAGAATCCGACTTCAGAGCTGGAAGATTACTTATCTGGTAAATTCCCTATCGGTAAAGGTGAAACTCCTCTGCAATGGTGGAAGGTATGTCCCATCCTTATCTTATTTCTCACCCTTTCTGAGGATACTAACCTACTTACCTACTTTATGACCAATAGGAACACGAAACCCACTTCCCTATCCTCTCGTCAATTGCTCGCAATTACTTAGCGATTTCCGCCACATCATGTGCATGCGAGCGGACTTTTTCAGCCGCTGCCGATGTGTGTACACCTTCAAGAGGCAGTATGCTCCCAAAAACTATGGAGCGACTTGTTGGATCTCAAGCGTGGTTGAAGGAGGGAATTGTCCCTGATGGGGTGTTTGAAGAAGCTGCCAAAGCGCTTCAATCTTATATGCAAGCATTGGTAAAGAAGCAATCATCGGGAAAGATGACCCGATAGGTCCATCAATTTACTTTCATCGAAAGAATTTCTTTTTATACAATTTCATTTCTTACACGTGTTCCTTCCTTAAAGTGACTCAAGTCTCACCTTGACTCTGAGTTTTCTTATTATACATGTTTCTCTTGCTTCTGATGTCTCTATGAAAACACGTCCTACTCTCCTACGTATCTAGCCCTATGGTCACGTACAAATATATTTGAAATACAAAATTTTTGTTTGGTCTTCCTACATCACCGCTAAGTGCGCTATGTAGCGGGAATTGATCAATTCCTCCGCTCCAATACCTGGCAAGGATTTTTTCCATTTTCATAGCGATCTCGGAGCGGAGCGATTCATAGCGCCCACTCCGAAACGATATGAAAATGGACCAAATTTCATATTGTTTTGGAGCGATTCGGGTATTGGTTAGGCGTCCGATCTTCAACCGACGCTATCCCAAACCGGAATTTCATCCAACTAAATTCATCTGACCATCCACTGACCAAATCACCGACGGAATTGCTTCATCCGAACCAACACCACCGAGTGATCAAGTGACCAACTATTTCAACTTCCGAGGTATCAAGGTAAGGCATCTCAAGATCAGGTCAAATCCCATTTCAGTTACCTCGGAAGTAATAGTTTTACTCGACTCAATCCCCTTTTTCACCGAGGTTTTACACATCCAATGCGACCCAATCCATCTCTCCACCGACCCAATTCACCTCTCCACCGAGCCAATTCACCTTTCCACCGAGCCAACTGTAAACCTCACCGAGCCAACTGTACACCTCATCGAGCCAAGATTCCTCAAAACAAAATAGATACAAAACTTTCCTAGACTACATCAACCTACATCCTCATTAAATACATTCTCATTAAAGTAAGTTGGAGGACATTATTAGTCTAACTAACTGGTGATACCTTGAAACTAACACTTATATTTGATTAAACAATTGATTATATACTATCAAGAACAGAATTACTTGACTTAGACACTTCTAAATCTGTTACTTCTGATCCTAAAAATTTGAATGATAAAGGAAAGAAGAAAAGAACTAAATCTGTTCTGAAGAATCCATGTCATCTGACAACTCGAGCTCTGATTCCAACTCAAACAACAACAATGATGTCGAATCTAAATCTGATACTGATCCTGATAAGTATCTTCTTGAAGATATTTTCACTCAAGAGGCCTCTAATAAGACTAATGGTAAGTCTTTTGAACCTTTCTACTTTACCTTTAATCAATCAAATAGCTCATTAACACCCAAAATGTCTCTCTTTCTACTTAAACCGTATAGAAATTGATGAAAATAAGGAAGAATATGGCGTTCAAGTTCCTAATTGGACACCTACCAACAATTTAAACGACTCAGGGACCAACAGCTTACCTTACCGTAAGTTATCTATTGATAAAAGGTCTTTAAATGATCATTCAATTAACAAAACCACCCTCTATCTCCCTAAAAAACGCCTACCACATCAATTTGTATTGATTAAATGTAATCTTCACGATCAATTTGATCACCTCATCCGAAAACTGCCTTCTGTACTTCAAATTAATCTCCTCGATATGAACTTGCATCGATCAATCAATTCTATTAACACAATTCTAACAATTTAAATCAATTCAACCTCTAATACATTCTATTTTTGTACTCAGTCTAACTTATATTCAATTCAATTCAATTTAAACACCTATTTTAATCTCATACTAACTTGATTCAACTTCTCTATCTACTCATTGAATCAACTTCTATCTGATCAAATTGACCGTATCACTCATATAAATTCAATCAAATTAGGAAAGTTTTGTATCTATTTTGTTTTGAGGAATCTTGGCTCGATGAGGTGTACAGTTGGCTCGGTGAGGTGTACAGTTGGCTCGGTGAAAAGGTGAATTGGCTCGGTGGAGAGGTGAATTGGGTCGGTGGAGAGATGGATTGGGTCGCATTGGATGTGTAAAACCTCGGTGAAAAAGGGGATTGAGTCAAGTAAAACTATTACTTCCGAGGTAACTGAAATGGGATTTGACCTGATCTTGAGATGCCTTACCTTGATACCTTGGAAGTCGAAATAGTTGGTCACTTGATCACTCGGTGGTGTTGGTTCGGATGAAGCAATTCCGTCGGTGATTTGGTCAGTGGATGGTCGGATGAATTTAGTCGGATGAAATTTTGGTTTGGGATAGCGTCGGTTGAAGATCGGACGCCTAACTCGGTGCAATTGACTTGGTTTGATTAACTCGGTGTTATCTCGGTTGAAATAACTCGGTTGAAATCTCGGACACATGATCCGAGGACTCCTCGGATTTTGGTGTCCGAGCCAAAAATGCTGGCAGTGCCAATGTATGTATCTTCAAGCTTTTCTTTTGCCATTTGCAAATGATTCTTGGAACAGGTCTTGGCACAACCCTTGTGTATTAAACACTTATGGCAGAATGTATGCGTCTAGGAAAACCATTTTTGCAGTGAAGAACTTTGACAAGGTAACCAGACCACAGGCTATCTTGTCATTACTAAACCTGATGATGGCAGCCGAAGTAGGTTTGTCTTCAACAGAAATTTGTTTGACAAAGGCAAGATCAACATTCCCAATAGCCTGACTAACCATTGGTTTACAATCTGTGTCAGTAGAAGAGACATCCTTGCTTGTCAACAAACCTGGGATATTTGGGATGGAACCATTGACCATCACACTAGCACTCTGACTGGTAAAGAGGTAGGCATTGACAAGGATTGAGAGACATGCTGTGAAGGTGTTACACGACTCCCATTGCAGATCTTAACTGCATGAAAACTGATGGTGTCAGGGACAAGAGGGGCAAGATTGAAACCTTGTAGCACACAGCTGAGTGGAAAAAGGTGTTACTTGGAATTGTCAAAGCAGAAACAATTACAACATGACAACATTTAAGTCAAAATTCAAAAGCTAGTCTTATTGGACAACTCTCAAGTGAGGCACACCCCACAGGTGGTATCACAAGAAACTGCAGCATTGTTAAAGCGGAATCTCCTGTATTGACCAAAGGGTCACACAGCTTACATGGTGCATCACCATATGTTTTCTCATTTATCACTTCCTTTGCAAGTCAAGAGGCTAATCCAATGCTTGTGATTTAGCACCTGCGGTTGGTGCTGACATGGGACTGGCTAGGGCAGGGTTGATGGAGGGTGGACCACCACCTCTAGTAGCAGCATCTTTAGGAGAATGGTTCAACTTCATTTGGAGTCTGGCTAGATGAATTGTTTGGAGCTACAACAATGGTAGCGCTTGTAGTGCCATTGGCAGGAGCTTTGGTGTCCTTCACTGAAGTAGTGTCAGGGTGGCTACTACTTAAAGAGTCAAGTGGTCTAGTCATTACTTGATTCTGAGTCCTGACAAGGGATTCCACTGGTTACGTGGTATATCTGTTGTATCTTATCCTAAAGTGAGGATAATGATCGTAATGAATGTGGTTAAAACCACAAGCCCTTCATGGTGATTCAAAGAAACACAATTCCGAGGCCCACTGTAAGTTAACAGATGTAAGGTGGTCAACCTTTAGGCCTGGTTATAATCTCTGAGATACAAGATCTAGAGTAGCCTGCGTCCAAAGACTAACAGGGATCTTGCCAACTTTGCGTTGCAAGAACTGGGTAGTGACCAAATAGATTTACGTAGTTTTTAGGTACGTAAAAGGGGTTCTTAATTTAAATCATGGGACATATTATAATCAAAGCTATCAGCCGGAAAGTAGATGAATACGATGGGACTAATAAAGGTACTTGGAGTGTAATAGTTGATGGTTATAGTTCAAGAGACTAAGAGGGACAAAGCAACGATTCATCTTTAAGCAATTAAGGGTAAAGTGGAACTACGATTGAGATACATGAGTAACTAATCTAGCTGGACTTCAGAACAGAGGATGGTCTGAAATAATTGGTTAAAGTATGATAAGGTGAGGCTCTCCATCTCTTGGAGAGACTTCCCTTTATTTATATTCTTTTTGTTCAGATTTAAGGGATATATCGGAGATACCTTTTTCTTGGCGTAGTCTTCTTATCAAATACGTTTTAATTGATACATCTTCGAGCCCAGGCTATTCTATATGTGATCAGTTCAATCTTGCTTCCAAGACTTGTTTCATTAGTCTTTTGGATGTCAATCAAGATTTTTGATTGAACTATTATCAAATACAATTGATTGTTTCCAATTGATTTGTTCTCAAGCGTGATAGAACAGGCTAGAACATGATCATATATAAGTTTGGCAGTAATTTATTACATTTCAATCACATAATCTGTATGGTGCAGTGGTGGACTATATTTAATAGACTAATGATACCTCTGGTATTCAACCTGTCCTCATTCAGAAGAGCTTGTTAGAATTTTAGTGTTATGGAAACTTATTTGGATTTCTTCTTTACCAATGTAGCTATCCACTTTCTGTTTTGAGACGTCTTTCAGATGACCGCTGAGATTACATTTACGGGATACAAAGTTAAAACTCAGAGTTTTTTCCCAGTTTCCCAGTTTTCAAAATACAGCCAAAAATGCAAACTGGGAAACTGGGAGAACGTGGGAAAGTTCCAAACACAGCCAAAAACGGGAACACTTGAGGATCCGGGGTTTTTTCCTGATAATTTCTGATAATCTGATAATGATAAAATTCTGAGAATACAGCGTACAGGCCCCTCGCTCAAAGCATATTCACTACTAAACATAAGCATATCCCGTAGGTATGTGAAAAGTCGGAAACCTTAGCGTTAGGTCATCACGTGTGCATGTCACTGACCTGTCCCACCTTACCTGATCTCAACAATTCCATTCATACCTCTAGTGTTTCATCACGAAAATTTTTTTTACCATTACCACGCGATCCCAAAAAACCCTGCCTACATCACAGACGAACCCACACCACGACGGCTATGGATATAAGTATAAGCACTGGCCCATGCCTGCTCACTAACCACCAATGTTTGCATCGTTTCCACAGACACTCAACATTTGAAATCTTTGCACGATCTGCCTCCTTCACTCGTCCAACCCGTATTCCCTTCCAAATATCAGGTCAGTGCACCCCCACCATAATCTTCCCATTTCCGTGAATTTACTTTTGTTGACCCTCCGCATATCATTCACATGTTAGGTCGACTCAAAATCTCTTCCAACCAGCTTTCACTGGCTTTACGCTACGTTCAGCGCTCACAAACCACCAAAATACCTTCCGACATCGCAACAACATGGTTGTTGCGACCCTGATCCACCCCGATTACATCTTCGTAACACCTGGCCACCTTCCTGAGCCTCCGCCCCCAGGAGCCAAGCCTGGGCGGCCCGTCGGTATCCTGTGCCTGATTTGTCATGCAGGACTAAAGTACTGGACTCCTAAACCGGACGCGTGGTTGATTGGTGTAAGTCCACGATTGTTCTTCTTTTCGAACTGCAGCACGCCTGACGGATATACTGTGTTTTGGTCATTACAGTGCCCAAATGACCAAAAGCATAACACCCGAACATGGCGCTGTGACCAATTCAACCACGAAAGGACCCTCATCAACCTTGGGGTTCCAAGGCCAATTGTATCGACATTCCAAGATTGGGGTCCTCGCATCTCACCTGCCGGCCACATTCTTGACATGTATCCCAAACCCCCAAGGCCGGTACCAAATGACCTCCCCTTGCTTAGCCACTTCCTCCAACCCCAACCGACTGGTCATCCCTTTCAAGGACGCGCCATTCAAGGCAACATTGCACCTAATTCAACAACATGGTCCCAACCTCTCTATCCTCTAACTCCATCGTCGTCGTTGACACCGGGTCCAGTTCTTACCGGGCCATCTGGCGCCTCGATTTCCGGACCGCACCTCAGTACGCCACCTGTCCCATGCGAGAGACAATCGCAGGGCCCCGTGCCTAAGGGCCACCGCAAGCACGCCAACAAGAAGTGCCGTTTTCAATATTGCCAGGCGGTAAGTGCTTCTGCAATTTTCTCTCTTTGGCACTTCACACCATCACAATGTCCCACATCCAACCGGCCAGCTAACAGTTGATACCTTGAAGTGCTGCAATACGTACGGACCCGGCGTGTGCCGTACACATCCTAAGGCCCTTTCGAACACCGACGCCTCAGTCCATCCATACGCGCGACCACAATCATCAACTACCCCCACCCCCAAAAGCATCTCTACACCCCAAAGACGCGTCACCGAGCCTCGTTGTCACCAATGGGCACAGAGTGCCAACTCCTTAGGTCAACGCCTCCATGTGGACAGTGTCGTAACTCTCCATAAGAACCGTCTCGAACAGTACCAACCTGAAATACAGAAAAAATACGATGAAACGAAGATGGTAACTGTATATCTATGGTTAAATGTAAGGCATATCTACCAACATCTATCACCCTTTCGAAGTCATTGACGATTGCGTTCCACCTGCAGGAAATCGAACCGGTGGTAATCACCGCCTATTTCAAAGACTGGCCTCAAGCCCGCCTTGAGGAATGTGATCTTATGATACAGGCGGTGCTTGGAGAGGTTGGCGACCTTTGGAACCGAGCAATAAGCATGTGGGACGAAGGCATTGACGCTTGGGTGAGTTAGTTCTCCAAACTGTTCTTGGTCAAGCTCTTCCTGTCCAGCGAGCCAATGTGTCTGCATTGATCATCCACAATTGACAGCGCGAGATTCCGGTCGGTTACCCTCACATTTACTCTTCGTCCAAACGGTCCATTGTGCTTCGCGTGGCCAAAGTTAATCCTCTCACTCCTGGCTTACCGCAGAGGGCCCGTTTGTTACCACCCCCCATCCCAGGACACGCAGGCGAAGGGACATCGTCATTAGCGAGCGGTTTTTCCAAAACGTCAGGATACGTTCCTTCGACCCCTGACCAAGCGCTCCACAGCTCTCCACCCCTTCCCTTTCGGAAACTAGTAGACAAACTTTCCAGCGCGCCCAGCCCAATCACATCAACAGCCCACCTGAGCCCATCAGCGGTAGTCGACCTGACTCAACTGCCTGACTCACCTGGTTTTGCTGAGACACTTTCCTCACCATTAAGGGTCAAGCATGAACCCGATTCCGAGGACCAACCGGAAGCACCGCAAGCCCAAGCTTCCACACCCTTGGTGTCATCTTTGGTGAGCGCCTCCTCCTCTGACATAGTTCAGAACTACTATAACTTCGAGACAAATTGAATTATTTAATTATTCAAATTTTGTGCTTGTCTTGCCGTCCGATCGTCAATAAAAATAGGAATCTGCCCCGACTGTACCATCACCTTCAAATCCAGTTCCAGTCACGGCTACCCCTAGCGCTAGCCCTCTCAAACCGAGATGGCCCTCTAAATCGCTGCTAGTTTCGAGCATGCTCGCCTGGCACAAGGAAGGTAAAAACAGCGACATTGTGTTGAGTTGGCATAAGCACTTTGGAAATGAATGGAAGGAAGTCTTGCCGACCATGTACCGGTATCGCGGTTGGATCAATCGCGTAGGTTACGAGCGTTTTGCCGCTGAATACCAATTCCAGCCCAATGCCGTTGTGGGGGAGGCACGTCTCTGGTTCAAGGAAGAGTTCAACTACGTCGCGCGGGTTGGCAGTGAAACGGTTGCGACGCCGGCAGACCAGGTGGCATGTTTGTCAATGCCACAGAGTTGAAATTTAACACAGCGTTTGTTTAATGTTAGATTGACGTGCCCAAAGCGCGTGGCCTGCATGTTCACTTTCAGTGCTTTTGAAATGCAAATAAGATCACAATTATATAACAATTTAGCATTTGATAGTTATAAACACATATGAATTGATCCATTATATTACTTTATATTGTCGAATATTCAAAAAATAAATTTTTGAATTATCTTGTCAACTTTCTTGTCAATTGCCTTTGACAAGAACAAGAAGGAGCTTCTTGACATGACATCAAGCTTGAGAAATGTCATGTCCAATGCCTTTACATCAATAAGGCATTGTCATCAAGAAATAACTTGTTGTCTTCAAGCAAGCTTGAAGATATGATAATGACAAATTGATTGATGCACCACTTCTACTTCAAGAACTCATAAATACTTCCTTTATGAGTTGTTAAGCTTGCATTATCAAAGTAAGTAATTATTCAATTGAATTTGACAAGACAGTCCATCCAAGCTTCAGCTGTAGAAAGAAATCTAATGAAATATGCACCAGACATAACCTCATGCCAAAGGCAATCCATGAGCGCCCAGCTTCTATCAGTGTGGTCCTAGAGGTTTGATTGACTCAGTGAAAATGGATCTGATGCCCCAAACCAGGGTTCACATGCTATACTCTTTGATAAGAGTATAGCATGTGAACCCTGGTTCCTGATTTCTGAATTATGTGATTAATCATGAATTTGAGCATAAAGCACAAAGCTATTACAATCATGTGTTGATGGTTCAAGATATGATTTCCATTTCTTTTGACATTTGGGGACCCTTACAATTTGACAGTCTTGTCCTTCAATGTCAATTACAAGGCCAACTCGCATGACACATTCGGCCCACCTGCAGGATGAATGGTCAGGATGAATGGTTGACCAAGTAACCTCTCAGTGTTGTGTTCACCTTCCCCCCCCCTCCTGTGCACTCATCTCAGGCAGCCTGTGGTCAGTGCCTCCCTGTTTGCCTTGATCGTGTTATTTGAGACATTTCATCTGCCTTGGGACAGTTGAAAGACTGCAAAATAGGCAAGCCCTGCCCCCTTGCGGTGTTGAGGATTGCAACACTTTTGCGCTTTGAATGTCATAAATTTCAATTATAATGTTAATTATATCTGGATGTTGAGTACCTACCCGCAAGGTACATTCCCGCAGGTGCGGAGGACTTGTGATGCCTCTTGATGTTTGTGTGATGTGTTTTTGCATGCATAAACACACCACACAAACATCAAGAGGCACCCATAAGCCAGCTGATGCATGACTTCCGCGCACTCCCCCAATGAATGGTGATGATGCCAAAATTAGTCATGTCATCATGACTAATCAATAAAGTGTCAGAAAGACTACCCTTTTGGTGGGGTGAATCCCCCAAACACGGTGGTCTTTACACACAAAATTCGGAGATGAATAGTTTTATCAAAACCCATTGATCTCCTCTTTTGACTAAACAATGATAACCTTGGATCATTGTTTAGGCACCAAGAGGCATGTCATTTCCTTTTGGTGCACTGACAGTCAGGTAGATTGATTTGTGCAATTGCTACATGTGCTTGGAACCCTAGCTGTGGCACCACCCCAGATTATATATCATGTGGTGATGCCAACCTGTTCTCCTTACTACCTCGTGGACCGTGCAGGTAGGGATGTAATGACTTGAAATGTCTGGGGCGAAACCAACGGTGCAGCGCCATGGAAAGCCTGCACACTCCACTGCAAGGGATTGTGTGGAGAGTGGTAGTTGGTTGATTATTCACTAGAAAGGATATGATCTATATATTATAATGGATGGACCATCAGTGATCATAAAACACTGATGGTGTGCAGGCAGGACTAAATGCGGGAGTTGAAATTGAACTCTACACAGAATGCAACTCTACAATTTTGGTGAATATGTAGAGTTGCATCAAGTGTAGAGTTGAACCATAAATGCCAATTATAACAAATCATTTACATTTAGTGGTTCAGAATTATTCAATACGGTGCATATTGAATAGGGGGAGTGTGATCTCATTTGTGCATGATGCATACAACATGGCCTTTTCAACGGAACATCTTGTGTATCAAATCTCACGACAACAACTTAATTGATTTTGCGCTTGGATGTGATTTATATATAGTTACAAACACAAACCTGGTCAGGAAGCAGAGACCCATTCCAAAAGACTAGCAAATGGTTGACACTGTCATGAATGATGTGAACGATCATCCATGAAAAGATGAAGAACTGCACAATTCACTCTATATTGGTGAATCCATGACCGCGTACCTGGGACATAAGCTTCGTCAGTGTGAGTCGACACCATGATGAAGCTTACGTGACTCACCTTGACAATAAACCATCCGGAGATGGGATCTTTCCTGATCACAGAACCATGGAGCATCATCTTTGCGCCAACAGCAATCTGTGGCCAGTCAAAGCTGATTGGAGTGAAGAGAACGAAGTGGTACGTGATTACAAATTCCTTCAATTCTTCAGTCTGAATGGGCCAAAAGCGTGATGACTCAGTAGCCGCGTAATGAACTACAATCTGTTTGAAACGGCTTACACGCGGGTCAAACCAATCATGTTTTGCGTTGACAGTGAGTTCCCATCCTGTGACATCGTCTACATCTTCAAAGTAGAAATCCACAATCATTCCGAGGCCATTAACCACAGCTTTGCCTGCGAGGTGCTCGTACTCTTGAGGGTTGATGATTACTTCCTTTTTGGTATCGCGGCAGTGCTCGATAATGCTTTTGCCTGAAATCACATCATGCCCAAAGGGGCCTATGATGCTATACGCTTTGGCACGTTCAAGTTTGTGGTCGGGGCGAACATAGCCAAGAGCGGTCAGCGGCTCAAATACGTGACCGCCATCGGGAGCTTTCAAGGTAAGATGCGTGTTGGACGTGTGCCAACCCGCTCCGTCTTCGGTTGGGTCCACGCGTGTTGCCTGAGCGCCAAAAGGAATGTTAACCCCGAAGAGAATCATGCAAAACATATGTCAAAAAGAATATGCGACTTACATCATCAAGGTTGGGGAGAATCGCAAACATGAGGGTAGGCAAAGGCATTGGTTACGGTATCGCTGAAAATGCAAAGAACGAACAATTTCGGGCCAGCTAAGATGAGATGAGATGAGATGTCTTTGATCAAGTGGAAGAGGCAGAAAGAAATGCGATGAGATTCAAGAGTTCAATGGCACTCTGGAAAGCCTTTGCATTATATAGATACACAGAAATGCCTCGGTGAAGAAGACACGCCATGCTCGCATGACCACGGCAGCAGCAGCCCTCGCGAGGAATCCCCGACCTAGGCATCGAGGCATCGTGGTCTAGGTCATGCCGCGGTAGCAGGAGGTGATTGTCGGTAGGATTCGTTTCAAGAGGATGTAGATTGAATTACATATATGCCTTTTTTTTTGTTCTAAAGCCAGTCAGTGTTAATGTTATAAAACCAATTGATTCAGGCATAAGACAAAAAAACAAAGGTGTAAACCCATTGGAACAGAACTCGTTTAAGGTCTTTCGATATGGTATACCAACAACTATACGAGCTGTAAATGAAAGAAAGAAACACCTTAAACGAGGCGGCCAAACTCTTCAATATTTGAAGAATGATGAAATCATTGAACAATAAAGACCGTCTATCTAGTGGTAGCCCACAAGGTTGCTTCGTTTGTATTCTTGTTTGTGACGTTCAGGACAAACTTCCATATCCATATGGAAGTTTGTCCTGAACGTCATTTGAAAAATACGAACTGAACATTCACAATCTTTCTCAGTCTAGAGCAAAATCACAATACAGAGAGGCAGAATCCAATCATATACCCTTACCACAATGAGATTCTCCCGGATTTTACAGAATTCCATTACCTATAAATTCCACACCCGAACGCTTCCTCAGCTTGCGTAGTAACCAAGCATTCCTCAGCGATACCATCTCCTCCAAAAAAAAATTATACTTCGTCGAGTGCATGCTTCTGCACATCGACGCAAAACCACTGTACCATATATTGGTCAGTTCCACGGCTGAGGCATTGAACACCCATTTGCCGTCCTGTTGGATGTCAGGGAAGAGCCTAGGATTCGTGAAACGTTGGCAGAAATCGTCGCTCCCCGTGTGGGAGCGGTGATGAAACGGATCGACTGGGATGACGGTGTCCTTGAATCTGCTGGAATCGACTGCCCCGTGGTAAATGTGTTGCGTTAAGCGACACGCATTATCGTAAAATACGACTTCGGGTATTCCCTGAGGGAAAGTCTCTTCCAAGAATGCCTGCCAGTGCGTTTCAACTGAGAATGAGTTTTGCTTGATTTGTTGATTAGGTAACATTTTTGAAAAGAGGGGACGGACACGCACTTTTACCGCACTAACTGATTCTGAATGGTAGAAAGTCTTGCGCGCCAAGATAATTCCACATGGGCCCACGATGAGTTGATCGTTGTGTGTTTGCATACGAGTCAGACATACTTTCTCTTTTCCTTGAGATTGTCCACCATCACGCGCCGCCTCGTGTGCCCTATTGGACTCGTCAGCTTGTTGAAGACTTTCCAAGTTTTCGAACTCCCCGGTGTCGGCATTGAGATGCACCGTTGCATCTGAAGGTAGGTTCCCAGTTTTAACTTTGTATCCCGTAATTGTACTGTTTAATATGTCTTCATACTAAACCTATAAGACTGAAATATAAGCAATCAGATGTTTATTTCAAAGCTATCTCAGCCTACAAATAAGTGTAGTACTTATGGCTCTTTTGTCAGTGCAAAGAGCTCGAGTGCTGACAAGTAGGCTGAGTATTGATCTCCACCACTCTTGTGGTATTGAATGTGCCAACGTGCCTTGGAAGTTATATATATAGGATCCCAGTATCCCCACCACCCCCCCCTAGTAGCCCCACCACCCCCCTCCCCTTCACAGCTGGTGAAACGCTTGGTCGCTGCTGACACATGTCGTGACAGTGCCAGCCTGAACCACGCTCCCACCTTCATAATTTTTGAAGTTCATTCTCAGCTCCATATCATCCAACTCCATAGCTCACAACTCAAAAAATCTTGTCACTGTCTAACAACACACCACACCTTGAAAATGGATTTTGGCGAAGTTATATACCCATCCTTACAAGAAGCTGAAGATGCACTGCGGAACTATGCCAAAGGATCAGGCTACTGGTTGAAAATCACCCGCACCTGTTCTGATAAACATAAGAGACCAAAGAAACGAGTCTTTGCCTGTTCTCATGGCGGAACACCTCAGCAAGTCATCAGTGCAGTTCGATCCACCTCAACTCAGCTTCTGGGATGCAAATGGTCTGCTACAATTCAACGCGTGGAAATCACTCATCAGTGGAAGATTGAATTCAAAAATGATCAGCACAACAATCACGAACCTTCTACAAACCTTGCTGAGATACCAGCTGCACGTAAACTTACACCAGAACAGCACAACTTGGTTATTAACCTTGCAAATGCAGGTGTTCCTCCACGACTCATTCTACGCACCTTGAAGGCTTCCAATCCCACTAACTTGTCAACCAGCCAGGACATCTACAACATGATCAAGAAACAAAAACTTTTGGACCTCAATGGACGCACTCCACTTGAAGCTTTGATAGACAACCTCAAGGCAAATGATGTGTTCCATACCTTTGAACTGGATTCTAATCACCGACTCCTGTGTCTGTTTGTTGCTCCCAAAGCTAGTGTGAAGTCGGCTTTGGACTTCTGGACATCTGATGTGCTACTGATGGATTCAACTTACAAAACCAATTGGTGAGATGCTTTCACAGCAATCAAGTTTAATCAGAGTTGAGACTGACTGATTTTTGTGGTTTGGTTGTCTTAGGTTTCAAATGCCACTCCTCCACGTGATGGGAGTTTCACCAACACATCAGTCTATCTCTCTATGCTTTGGTCTAATGCGACAAGAAACTGAAGCCGACTATCGATGGGTTTTGGAGCAGATGAAGCTGTGCTTTGGGTCCAAGCTTTCAAATCTGCAGGCTGTTGTGACTGATAGAGAACTCGCCCTGATGAATGCCCTGAAGGAAACTCTACCACACACCAAGAATCTACTCTGCAAATGGCATATCGAGAAAAATATTCAAGCTAACATCAAGATGAAATTAACAGACGAGCAATGGAAAGTGTTTCAAAGCAGCTGGCAGGAAATTTGCAACTCAATCTCTCCCGAAGACTTTGAAGCACGATTTGAGGCTCTTCGAACTGATATTGGCGAGACTTCTTTCAATTACATCAAGAGTACGTGGGTGATCCACAAGGAAAAGTTTGTAACTGCTTGGACAAAGGATATCAAACATTTTGGTCACACCGTCACCTCTCGGATTGAAGGTGGTCATGCTGGTATCAAAGGCTGGGTCTGGACATCAACTGGTGATCTTGCAACTGTATACACCAAGCTGGAATTTGTTTGTCAACAGCAAAGAGATAGAATAGAACACCGTATATCCTTTGATCGGACTCATACTTTATCTCGACTTCGTCCTCAAATCTGGACTGATGTCAACAGAAAAATCTCGCACTACGCACTACTAGAGGTAAGTTTTTGTCTAGTTACCTCCCAACATTTCCTCTCCTGATTCATCATGAAACATTCTCAACACAAATCACAAATAGACCTACAAGCAGTATCAAAAAGCCCTTTCTTTAGATGACACCAACAACTGCACCTACGTACTTTCTGGATCACAGGGATTACCCTGTGCCCACTTCCTGAAGCATCTCATGTTATCTTCGAGGAAATTGGCTGTGAACCACTTCGACCCTCATTGGTATCTAGATCAGACTTCAGTTGACCCAGTTCTACACAACCAACCACCTGACTTTGACACGCTTCTCAACCTCGTACGAGCACAACATAACACTCTCCCTGCCCATCAACAAAGCGTGTTGTGGAGTCAGTTAAGTCGGATTCTTGTGAGTCCGACTCTCACCATTGGTGATCCAGCTCCGATTCGATCTCGTGGTCGGCCTACAGGGTCTTCAAACAAGACCAAGCGCGATGTTTGTCATCACGAACATCAGGAAGCTGAACAGAACGGTCCTCGATGTAGCCAATGCCACACGACAGGTCACAACAGGAGGACTTGTCCTATCCCAGTAGAATCAGCAAACCCGGCCACAGTCGAGCATGGAGTGGTCTAGTCACCTCTATATGCTCTATATGTACAAAGCTCGACACATCCTAGCACAAACACTATAAGATCCACCAAACACATACATAGATCCGAATTGTCCTTCTCTCCCTCTTTGTCTGTCTCCGTAGCTTACAAGACCTTGTTGGCTCTCATCATTCATTTTGACACTACACTCCTTTGTCTTTGGGAATGACTCTTGTGTAATCGAGTCATCAAAGATACTAAACCTTGTCCAGCTACACAATAAGCTACAGAATTTACCTGAGCAATCGGAGCGATCACACTTGCTCAAAAAGGTTGAGAACAATGTGATCAATCCGATCGGTTTCCCTGACATCATGTGTTTTTTTCTCTGGTCTTTCAAGTGCTCAATCCCACTAACCCCAAAAAAGGGAAACACAACTCAACACAATCAATTCAATCGGTCTGAATGATTGTTTTTCAGAATTGTTTTCCAATCGCTCCGATCGATTCAAATTCAATCAGTTGGAGCGATCTCGATTCATCTCGTTTGTTTGTTCATTGTGCAAAACTGCAGGATCCTTCAATTATCGTACCAATAGGATGTTTTGTTAGAGAAACAATAAAAGAAAATTCTCAGTGAGTGCTGAGAGCGTGGTTCAGGCTGGCACTGTCACGACATGTGTCAGCAGCGACCAAGCGTTTCACCAGCTGTGAAGGGGAGGGGGGTGGTGGGGCTACTAGGGGGGGGTGGTGGGGATACTAGGGGGGGTGGTGGGGATACTGGGATCCTATAATAACTTCACATACCTTCCGGTATTCCCTTTCCTTCAGTGAGGACATACAAAGTCCTTACCAGCTTACTGTCAATGGACATCCCCTTTCCGAGGGGTTTTGACCCTGCCCTGGTTGGCCCAACCTCTTTTCAGAAGCCCTCGGGTCTAACCAGGTCCGGGCTGGGCTTCACAGCCGGCCCCGGACCCCCGATCCGGGCTATATAGTACCGTCGTACCTTTGGGTACCACCACTGACCATCCATCAAATTGGTCATCACCATCCAAACCATTCTAGAACTAACATCAACTTGTGAGTTTAACTGTTTACCATCTGATCGATTGATAAACACTAACTAACTTTGATTTCTTTTTATCAACAGTCCATCAGTTAAGAATACTATGAAATGGGTTTCACTTATCATCAATACTTCTCAATCCAATCAATCTAATCTTACCAAGACCTTTTCTTCAGTTTTATTCATTCTTCTCTTCCTGAACCTTCAAGATGATAATCGAATCGCTGCAATGTCTAAATCTAGGAAACTAGAACTAAGGTAAGATCTTCATTCACTCAAATTCATCTTAAACGAAGCTGATTTGAAATCCTCACTCATCACACAGAGATCTGGTCAAACGAACTTGGAACCATGGATTCGATAACTACATGACACATGCATTTCCAAAGGATGAAGTTAGTTTTTTCAGGAAACTCAACCTATTCAATCTTGCTCATCACTGATCCAGCATCTTCCTATTTTCAATAGCTACGACCAATTTCTTGCCAGGGTCTAGGACCGGACAAAAATCAGTAATCAACCATTCTACCTACCTACCTACCTTACCGCTATCGAGACGATCCGAGAGTTTGAAGCAGCTAACGAAAGAAAAACTCGTATCCGACACTCTTGAATGTACCTTTTCCTACGTTTTCATAAATCCATTTATGATACCCTATGAAACCTATACACAGAGCAAATCATGAGATTAACGACGTACTCGGAAACTTTGCATTAACGTTGATTGATTCACTCGATACTTTTATCGTCTTTCAAGATCTCGATTCATTTTCAAAAGCAACACGACAGATCATTGAAACCGTACCTAATTTCGATCTCGATTCACGTGTACAAGTTTTTGAAACGACGATTCGAGTCTTGGGTGGACTTTTAAGTGGTCATTTATTTGCTTCAGATCATGAAAATCATTGGGGGTATCGTTTGGATTGGTATCATGACGAATTGTTACATTTGGCAAAAGATCTTGCGGATCGAATGATGGTGATTTACCATCCACTTGAGCTGATCTTATTGAACATGACTGATGGTTTGAAATCATAGCCTGCTTTCACTGCCAGTCGCACAGGTCTTCCTTATGCACGAGTTTAGTCATTTCGTTCTTGGTGGTCACACAAACTCAATTACCAATTTCCTGAATGATCGTCTCATCTATTACAGGTCAATTTGAGATTCGGAATCTCCAAAGGAGAAACAAGAGAAACTTGTACAGCCGGAGCAGGGTCATTGCTGCTAGAGTTTGCAACCTTGAGCAGGTTGACCAACATACCGACCTATGAAGTAAGAGACGTGGTTTACCAGCATCGCTCACAAACATAACTGCATACTGATATACTCTATCTCATCACAGCAAGTTGCACGAAAAGCTCTTTATGCTCTCTGGAATCGTAGATCGGAATTGGATCTTTTTGGAAATACAATTGATGTACAAACCGGCGTACGTTCACGAGTCTTGCTGCGAAAAGCATACAGAGGACAAAACTGATCGAGATGGTCCAACTTAGGCATGGTCTTATGGTATCGCCAGTATTGGAGCTGGAATTGATTCGTATTATGAATACCTCCTTAAATCTTATGTTTTGCTTCAAGATGATTCATACCTCAAACTATGGGAAGCTGCATATAAATCTGTAATGACTTATATTCGTTCCTCTGATGGATTTTGGGTTAGACTCATCTTTCTTTTCAATCCATGAGCTACATCATGTCATCTGCTAAGACTTTGGTTGTTTGAAATCGTTAGTATCGTGGGGTGAATATGCAAACTGGATCTATCGCTTCACTCACAATCGATTCTCTCGCAGCTTTTTTCCCTGGATTACAAATTCTGGCAGGCGATATAGAGGGTGCAATACAATCACATATGGTTTATGCCAATCTGTGGATCAGGTTAGTCTCTTGATTTTCATTTGGAATATGTACAATCTCAATAAGATCAAACTTCTTCCGCTGACTTCTTACCAATATAGGTATTCAGGTTTACCTGAAGTATTTGATACAGCGAGGAGAGAAGCAACCTCATTAGGTTATCCACTTCGACCTGAATTCATTGAGAGTAATTATTTTCTATATCGTGCTACAAAAGATGAATTTTATTTAGAAATGGCCGAGTTGGTGATTCACGATCTTGTGGAACGGACTTGGGTCGATTGTGGATTAGCATGTATAGCCGATTTGAAAACTGGTTAGTCAACTAATCTAAGACACTTGAAGAAGATGGTATTTTGGTTTATTTTGATGATCTTGGGTCTAGGTGCTTTGGATGATCGAATGAATTCTTTTGTGTTATCTGAGACACTCAAATATCTTTGTAAGTCATTGTCTTTATCTCTATTGTCTATATCTCCGATCAACCTCCCAAATGTGCAAGATGTAGGTGATACTGATAAAGATTTGTTCTATTTCTCCGATCAACAGACCTCACTTTCGATGAAGACAATCCTATCAATCATAAGGATGATCCATTTGTATTCACAACAGAAGGACACATTTTATTTATACCAAATGCAACTGATTTGCCAAAAAACCAACGATCTCAAATGGCAATCCCACGTTCAACAAAATCAAAATCAAATGAAAAGATATGTTCTGTATTCAAACCATCAATTCAAAGTTCAAAATACTCAAGTGGATTGAAATTAACAATTAGAGGTCGAACTGATTTTGAATTAGCTAAAATGTTGACAGGTAGGATTGAAGGGAATTCCAATAGCTCGATTGGCTGGTTTGATTATGGAATTACTCAAGCACCGGTTTTAGATGTAAGAAAGACTTTACAATCCTTGGAATATCTGTTGAGAATGTTTCATTACAACAAAGACTCTAGAGATATTTGATTGATCATCTATATCTGTTCTAGATGAGATCAGATGTAAAATTATGACGATGGTTATTTTTGAAGTAAAGAAATTAATATTTCTATGATGTTTTTTGTTGTTTTCTTTGTTTTGGTTTGTTTTTTCGTTTGTAGGGTTCTTTAATCGAATTAGTATTTGCAAGAGTGAATGAAAAAGTCGATCTTTTACCTGGAATTGAAAAAGTCGAATTTGATTTAATTTCAAATCAAGTAATTATTAAAAACATTTCTGCATTGAGTCTTTCGATTCAAAAGGTTTCAGTTGATGGTACATATGAAGTTGTACAAGGTAAGGGAGGAAATTTAAAATTACATTTCTATCAATGATGATATTTTGATTGATGTTTTTTTCTTATATTTATGAAAAAAGTTTATTGACGATTTTTGATGTTTTTGTTTTTTAGTGGGAAATAGAAGATTAGAAACAGGTACTCAGATTATTATTACCGATTCATTTGCAGTCGAATCATTAAAAGGATCAGATGAAGGCAAAAATCAATTAGAAGATCAATATTTAGCAGGAATTAAACTTAAGATTAAAGGATTTGAAAGTTTAGAAGAAAAAACATGGGAAGTGGAAAAAGTGGTGATGAGATCTACCTTTGGACCTGATATTTTACAAAAAGAAGATGGAATTGGAAAGTTTAGAATCGGATCTGATCCGATTGAATTAATCAATTTAGATGGATTTGGATGTGATGAAACTGATTGGAAAAACAGGGATTTTCATAACAAAGTGGTCTTATTAAAAAGAGGTAAATGTAAATTTACAGAGAAAGTTTATTATGGAGCTAAAGTTGGAGTGATTGGATTGATTGTGATAAGTGATGATGAAGAACTTTTAATTGCAAATGCAGATTTGATTCCATCTAGAATTCAAACCATCCCAGTACCTTGGTACCAAAAAGAAGAAACTCAAAAGGAAGCAGAAGAAATGGAATTTGAAAAGAAGTTGAAAGGATTGAATGAAGTAGATTTAATTTCAAATTCGATACCTTTATTAATTATTAGTCAATCGAATGGGAAATGGATCGAATCGATTTTAAAAGATTGGGATCTAGCTGATCAAAACAAAGGATTTGAAATTGAAGTTATACATTGTCCTTATCAATATAAGATTGAACGTGATCGGATTAGAGGAAAAGTTGTGGTTAATGGATATCTATTAGGAAATGTTTATCTATGGGATCAAGAATGAAAATTATTAGAAGAAGAAGAGGGAGAAAAAGAATGGATTGGGTTTTTTGGTTTTTGGCATGGGGGTTTGAGTTTGGTTTTTGGATAGAGTTATGAAAAGTTTAAAAAAGTTGAAGAAAAAGTTTATATATTTCATTATTGAATTTAAAAATTAAGAATGCAACATCCCTATACACAGAGAGAGAAGAAAAAAAGTTGAAAAATGCATTGTTTTTGGTTTGTTTGTTTGGATTTTCATTTGATTAGCATTTTTGTAATCAGTAGTTTTTAGTTAGTTTTCAGTTTTGTTTTTGTTTTGAAGGAATTTATTTACAAATTGGTTCATGGGGCTTTGTTTGGATAAATTTTGGATTTAGGAGAGTGAGAGATCAGGGTTGGTTAGAGTTTGGGATGTGTGGATTGAATGGTTTAGACTTTGGAGGTTTGTGTGTATGCACAATTGATTTTGAGATTTTTACAACAAACAAAAGATAAGATTGGATTTTCATATGTACATACCTAAGAATCAAGAGGTAAGAATCAGTTACCACTTCCTAACACTACAGAAAATGTAATCTTTACCGGGCGGAAAAGAAAACTACTGACATAGAAAAATCCTGAGGCAACAGGAAAAGAGCTAAAAATCTGAAAAAATATGCACCTTGTTCCTAGACGTTGGGGCATCATGATGAGTATTTTTTTGTATTTTACACACAGATATTGGTTGATGTACTAACAATAAAGGCTGAAAATCATCAAAAACCCGCCTGTGACAATACCTGAAATTTGGGTCATGATTATGAAAACAATATTTTGCGGTCTAAAAACTTCAATAACTTTTGCAATTCTGCTCCAAACAACTTGTTTGTTGGTTCATTCAAAAGATAAACCATTCTCCTTTACACTTCATAAAGGTAGCAAGGTGTTATCTTGTCATGTAAACACTCTACATTTGTTCAAACAATTCTACATGAATAGCTCTGTAGGATCTTTCAAAGACCAGCTACAGATGTGAGGTCACAATAATAAATGTAGAGGAAAGACTCACCTTGGTTATGAACTTGAAATTGAGTTATTTGATCCAGAACTTCAAAAGTTATTGATGTTTGAAGATTTCAAAATCCTGTCTTCAAAATCATGGGCCAAATTTCAGGTATGGTTACAGGTGGGTTTTTGATGATTTTCAGCCTTTATTGTTAGTACATTAAACAATATTTGTGTGTAAAATACAAAAAAATACTCATCATGACACCCCAACGTCTAGGAACAAGGTGCATATTTTTTCAGTATTTTAGCGCTCTTCCTGTTGCCTCAGGATCTTTCTATGTCATTAGTTTTCTTTTCCACTCAATAAAGATTAACTTTTTTGTAGTGTTAATAGAATGGAGTCATAGCTGCAAGTTGACACTTTCTCAATGCCCCACTTGATGGTTCACATCAATTGAATAGCTGTGCAACCAAGCAGGTCTTTATTCAACATCACACTGTCAGGATTAATCACTGTCCCTAATGGAATAATGTTCACTTTCTCAATAATTGCTTAGCATTTATATGGAAAAAATTAATTATTCAAAAAAAGTGACACATTATCCCAATTAGGAAGGTGTGTGTCCCTGGCAGTGTCTGGAATTGTCAAGTCATAAGGTCAATCCTTCAACATGTACTAGTCATCCGTACATCAAGTCCTATCATATATACCATTATAAATATTGGATTGAAAGTTCCACAAATCAATACATTGGGCAGGCGCAAAAAATTCCTCAAGTAATGAAGAGTAACTCAATTTTGGAACTCTAGTTTCTGGAATCGCGCAAACCAGATCAAACTTCTAAAGCTCCTCCAAAAGGATTGTTCAACATTACTTGTAAAGAAACCTTTCAAGAAACTCATTGTGACCTATTTGCTTTATCCCAATTCTGAACACAGACAAGATGAGTGAAAATGTGATCAATTGGGCTTTGACTCTTTGGTGTAAGTACGTCAATGGTAAGTACAAATAAAATTGAACCCTTGTCAGTAAGCTCCACAGGCTCTTGACAGAATGCTCCATACACATCTTTGCTGGCTCTACATTATCACCCAACGGACATGAAGATTTGACTCATTACATTCTCATTGACTTGTGTGAGTAAAAGTTAACAGCAATATATCATTGATACCCAATACAATCAGTTAATATATTTTCATGATATGTGTTATGAAAGCAAAACACACCGTCAATATACACTACACCAAATTGCAAATTTACTGTGGAGTTTAGAAAATTGAGTAGACATAGAAAATTATAGAGAAGCTGGCAAGGGTCAGAGGAATATGAAAAAATAATGGGGGGGCCCTTTGATGCGTTCCAATTGTCTGGCATATTTTTTCATATTTTTAAAACCACAATGCATATAACACTACACAAAATATAATATCTTCTGGGCAACCAACAAACAGAGATATTGAGCAGTCTTGGAGAGAGACAAAAATACACAAAAATATGCATATTGTTCCTATGGCTGAGACCTTGGATTTGAGTATTTTTTTGTATTTTTAGCGTGCAAATTGTTGATTGTACTAACAAAAAACCTCCAAGTTTCTCAGATTACAACCTGTAACAGAGATTGGAATTTGGCCAAGGGGTGACAAGGGGATATCTGGAATCCTATATCCCTCATATCTTTTGCAATTCTGGGTCAAAACACTTGATAGTTAGGTTATCAGGAACCCATGAAATTCATTTGAATGTTATGTTGATGCATCAAATGTGTAGCTCCGCCACAAAAAAAGCTATTTGTCTTTGAAACAATTTCCTATGTAGCCACATAGATATTCTTTGGAATCAGATTCAGGTTTTTTGTCTGAATGAAAGATTCAGTCACAGAGTTTGGCTTTTCAATGAACAAAAAATCAAGTGGTTTGACCAATAATTGACAAAGATATAAGGGATTTTTGAATTCAAATTATGCCCTCCAATTTCTGTTACAGGTTGTAATCTAACAATCCTGGAGGTTTTTGTTAGCACAATCAATGATTCTCACACTAAAAGTACAAAAAAATACTCAAATCCAAGGCCTCAGCCATAGGAACAATATGCATATTTTTTTGTATTTTTGCCTCTCTCCAAGACTGCTCAATATCTCTGTTTGTTTGTTTTTATATTTTCTGCCCAGAAGATATTATATTTTGTATAGTTTTATATGCATTGTGGTTTGAAAAATATGAAAAAATATGCCAGACAATCGGAATGCATCAAAGGGCCCTCCCATTATTTTTTCATATTTTCTGACCCTTGGCAGGTTCTCTATAATTTTCTATGTCTACTCAATTTTCTAAACTCCACGGTAAATTTGCAATTTGGCGTAGTGATAGGTTGATTAGTTATTACATTCAAATCAACTTTTGTGAGTAAAAGTTAACAGACTGCACTATATCATTAGTTGATCTTCAATAGAATCAGTTAATGTTTTGCTTGCATATGTGTTATGCCAGCAAAAAAAGTCATGAATATCTCATGACTTGTTATATTCTCATCTCCTTGAAGTTGTGCAAATCAGTCAAGTATATACCAGTGGATCTCATTGGTCAATCTATTCTCAATGACTATTTGTGAGTAAAGCAAGGCATCAGCATATCATGGGATAATGTGTTCTGATAACAAAGTCCTCTTTTATCATACCTTGAATGGTCATTACAACTCATTGCTTTTGGGACGTGAGCAATTAATCAAATTGCTTTTGGAAAAGTAAGCAATTCATCAAATTGCTTACACATGATATCTAGAAGCAAACACCATCCAGGCGTGATTACGATCCAAAAACCTCAAATTAAGCAAATTATTCATATGTTTCTCTTCATCTTTAGATATAATTTGCAAGAAAGGAAACACCAACTATATGCACCTACAATCAAGTTTAACCCTTGTACAAGCAACTCAGTCCTGGAACCACTGATATCAACTGAGAATCATACTGCCTAAGTGATAGCAAATGTGAATCTAAGATAATGAGAACATAT